AAAGTTCATATACCTCTTCTTCAACGAGAACCTAAAAGGGTCATCGGTCCCCGTGAGAGAAGATGGAAGGGGAAGGAACAGTATTCTGTCCAACAAAAAATAACACTACTCAGTCAAGGCAGCCATTGAGGAGAGACCGACAGGACAAATATTTTGTGAAACGAAAGCAGTATTAAAAGCCAACCATAACATCCCATAGATGAACAAAGTTTGAGTCCGTTGGCACCTATAAGACCAAAAAAACGGTATTCGAGTTATGAGCTTTCATGCGCATGCGCACTTTGTAAAGACTTAAAAATGTGTGCACACAAAAGCTCACACCTTGAATAAAACTTTGTTGGTCTTAAAGGTGCCACTGGACTCAAACCTTGCTCTACTGCTTCAGACCAGCATGGCTGCACACCTGACTCTGCCCCACAGATGAGCAACTATTTGTCTAAATACCTAGACCTGTAAAAGTATGCAGCAAATCTGGATGTAATCTTGTAACATGGCGTCAAAGTATCAAACTTGTGTTCAGAAACGGTTTTGTGTTCAGAAACAGTATCATCCTAGAATTCCAGCCCGTATGAATGAGACAGTTCACATGTATACAGTTGGAGCTGCAGTGGCTCAAGTGGTTAAGACGCTGAACTGCAGGCTGTGGAAGGTCGGTAGTTCAGCAGTTCGAGACCTGAGTGTGCCGCATGACGGAGTGAGCTCCCATCTCTAGTTCCAGCTCCTGCCAACCTAGCAGTTCGAAAGCAAGAAATTGCAAGTAGATAAATAGGTACCACTTCGGTGGGAAGGTAACAGCGTTCTGTGCGCCTTGGTGTTTAGTCATGCCGGCCACATGACCACGGAAACGTCTTCGGACAACGCTGGCTCTTTGGCTTTGAAACGGAGATGAGCACCGCACCCCTAGAGTCGGACTCGACTGGCTTTCGAGCAAGGGAACCTTTACCTTTACCTTTTTATACAGTTGGATGCTATGATTCTGCCTCTCGGAGGAGTTAGCACTTCCAAGAAATTTTCAGGTTTTGTTCACTCTTAAAGATTTCTTAGACGTGTTAACTTTTTATTCTCCTTGAGATTTTTAAAATTCAGCTGTGACTAAAAAATTGTTGTGTTACAGCCATATTCCCAGGAATGAACATGCATACTTCTCCAGCTGCATCGGCATCTGTCAGACAAAACCACTGCAGCACAATCAGCACTTAAAACTCTGCCAGCGGGGGATTTCCCCCCCCCCCGTGTTTGTGATCCTGTCTTTCGCTTTCAAGTCTAAATCAGCAAGATATCTGATTTTGGATTCTGTGTGGCTATATTTTTAATTAGTAGCCAAAATACAATCCTATTATGGTTGTCCAACACCCTTCGTTAATCCAGATAACTATAACTCAATAGTTAGGCCCAATAGTCATCCCGATCAAGAGGAGCATTCTGGAAGCATAGGTGAAAAGAAGAAACAGAAGCTTTTTCAGCTAGTTCCACAGACACACTCAAGCTATTTCTGTGGATGCCCGAGACATTCAAAAGCATCTCTTGGATTGTTGCACCTAACAAAATGTTGCAGCGATCACCCAATAGCTTCATAAAATCTTCTTTTCAAATAATTCAAAAGTAAATTATCACATTTTAGTCTTACGCTAGTTGAGAAATAACCTTTGAAGCTTGGGTGTGAGGGCAGTCTGGCTGCAACATGTCACCTCATTGGTCGCCAGGGTTGATTCAGTTGATCTGGCTAGCTAGATGGGCATCCCCCCTACCTACCCCACCACTTCATGAGGTCCCTCCTGAAGCTGTGCACTCGGTGGGAGAGGATGACCCTCTCAGGCCGACAGAGTGTACCATTCTTCAGTCAAGGGTATGCCTTTAAAGCTTGTGTCCAGTAACCTAAACAACTCCATCATACACATGAATCAGCCTGACATTTCCATCTTGTTAAAGAATCTGTTCTACAGATCTCATTTAACTTTCGTAGGCTTGCTAGGTTTTGTAAGGTGCAGCAACATTCTTAGGCTCTGACTTTTCTTCCTCTCCTCTTCAATATTTAGAAGTCAAATTCTAGAGTGGAATACCCAGGGTAGTAATGTAAGCTCAGACATGCATTTTTGTCAGTTACAATTTATTTTTCTTATAAAATACGTTACACTAATACTGCCAAAGTTTCATGCAGGCAATCCATCAGCACATAACATTTAAGAAAAATAATTTTAACATTTAATCTACAGTCTTCGAGCTTGACCTCTTGGCCTGTTCCCAGGATAACTCAGTGAGTGACTCAGGTGAGGGTTTCCTGACTGCAGCCTGGCAAACCATTCATCCTGAAATTAATGCGCTTGCAAAGCCAGCAAGACAGTCTTGCAAGGCAAAGTTAAAAGACAAATAGTAATGGCATGCTAGCGTAGCCTTCAGCCCAGTCTAGTCTGAAAATGGTTCGTTGGTGTAATTATTAGCATTAAGCAGTTAAGACCATCAACGCTTTTTTAGAAGAGGAGCAAAACCACAGGCCTGCGTAGAATTCACACTGAAGCTCTCTGCCTGGTCCTTCGTATGCAAGACCAAAGTCCTTCCTCAGTGATAATGGACCTTTCCTTTGCTTGGAGAACAGGCACTGGAAAAGGGACCTTGGGTCATATTAAATCCTGATTAAGCCTGCATACTAGGTTAGCTACAAAAACCCATCAGCATTTTACAAGCTAAAACAATCCATCAACATAGACCTGGGCCCGGAGGTACTTCTGTTCATGTTTCCATTCACCACTGCTGCTCTCCCAGGAGCATCCAGGCCATTCTGCCAAGTCCCAGGCAGCTTTCCTGAAGGCACACCAGGAAAGGGGGGGGAGGTTGGGAAGTTCTCTCAGGCAAGCATTTATCTGGATTAAAACAACACCCTTTTCCTTGAGACTCCTGTTGTCATCCAAGATTGTGGAAGTACCAGACTGTTTCAAGGTTGTTTTTGACATATCTTTTTTTATAGAATAATAATATTTGGTTTTGCATTTCAGAACCAAGAATCCACAGAAAATAAGTTGTCTACTCAAAAATGTGCATTCACCTCTTTTCTTGCTAACATTATAGGATTAAGAATGAGAAACATGTTTCAAACCTGTACGTCTGTATCAGAAATACTACTGAACTCACTAGCATAGGCGTAATCTTCGTGGGGGCGGCGGGGCTTCAGCCCCCGCCGAAATTTTCAGGAAAGTGCTCAGCCTCCCCTGGGAGCCACCCTTGCTCCTAGCACAGCAATGCCTCTGGCCCAGCCCCAGCCCCCCCCGGGAAATTGGAAAGTCTACACCGTTGCTCACTAGGGCTTACTCTCAAGTAAATAGGCGTGGCACTGCTGCCTCAATTTGCAGAAGGGTCATGTTTATTTTAACAGAAGTTCTCTCCATATGCTTTTACCACACCCTTCGGCGAAAGATGTCAATACTGCGACCACACACACTAAACAATCTACTTTCAATGCACTATCCAACCGGATTTTGCCAGTTCACACAGTAAAATCCACTTGGAAAGTGGTTTGAATGTATGTTATTTAGGTTGTGTGATCACAACCCAAGGCAGTACACATCATTCTATGCTACCTCATTTTTTACTCCCAATAACCCTGTGAAGATAGGTTAAGCTTGGGGTGACATGACTAAGCAGATTCGAACCTGGGTCTTCCCGGATCCCAATCTAATGACTACACCACACTGATTCTTTAAGCTTCTTAAAAGTAGACTACCAATGCGTCACATACTTAAACTTTATTTTCTGACAAAAAGTTTTCATATGCATTACTGTGTCTCCGTGGTGAGGTAAGTTCAGCATTCCTTACAGATGACAACTCATAAATTTACAGATGACACTGAAGTAAATTACATTTTTATTGATAAAAAAGAAACACATTTGACGACAAAAATATTTCATCCTCAGATTTTATTGGGTAAAGAACCATGTGACTACTAAATCGTGTTAATCTTGTCAATACATTTTAAATTAGTGGGTTTTTTTTAAAAAAAATTATATAGTACTAATTTTACAAATAGAACTTTTAAGACCACATTGTCCAGCGTGTGTTTTCCCAAACATTCACAATAAATACATCCTCGAGAAAATACTTAAGGCTAATTCTATTTTTAACATTTTAAACTGGCAGTCTGTGAAATTATTGTATACTATCTAAATTCCATTTTATCTCTGGACTGTAAGACCCCAGACTACAGATGGAATTCTGTACTGGAATCCTGCTCTGTGCCTTTACAATATTGCTGGACTTTCAGTTCTACACGTCTGCCTGTAAAACCAGTCATGTCATATTTTGGGGGTCCTTTTCAATCCTCACATGCTGGCACAAGACGTTTTCTGAGCGGGCTGCTTGTGTCATCGTATACCCTTTTAAAGTTCTAGGAGATACTGATTAATTTCATGATATAGCTTGGAATTTTAATGTTCCAGTCTCTTAATTTATAAAATAATTACCTTTATGATTAGTGGTACTAATTCTCATTCCGATTGCTTGTGGGTAGTAACTCCCCCCCCCTTTTTTTTAATGAGTTAATGAGGAATAAAACTTAGGAGAAGATCCAGCCAGGGTTCAGCACACTGAATTAAACTGGAGAAAAATAAATATTAAAATCAGTAAGGCATGCGGTTCAAACTTCAGTATGTTTACTCAGAAGTAAGTGCCAAAGGATTGGAACCTTTAAAAGTGCTTAACTTTGGCTAGACTGTGCCATGGCCAATAATTAGTTGTACTCTAAAATTCTCCAAGTGCTTCATTCTACTTGTATCTGCAGGATACTCTGCTCAGGTTAAAAATATATCTTTACATATGTTTGCAACATACTGTCAGCTACGACCCACGTGGAAATGATGTTGCAATTCAGAACATTTATTTTACAACTATATGCACTTTTAAAAGGGCAACTCACCCATTCACATAGCTTTGAATCCCATGTCCACAGAGCACATCTCTGAAAACAAAGCAAGAATTTATTGTGCTTCGCTGTAAGCTCAGTGTGCTGTTTTTTAAAAACTCCTTTCAGCTCGGACTAAAATCAGGAACATTTTTTCCAGGTGTAGGCGATTCGGAGTGGAGAGGGTAGGAAAAATACGGGGCTGACACCAAAAATCCAGAAGGCTGAGAGAGGTGGACGGAGTGGCCCATTTGTAAACAGCCGGATGAATAAGGAGGCGGCGAAGAGGCCATGATGCACCCGGACTCCGGCCTGGCAAATGAAAACCTGCGGATGGAGCCCCCAGTAGAACTTGAGCTAGTTGCTGTACTGGATTGTCGCGATGGAGTCCTTAAGCTCATGGAGGTCAGGATCATCGGTAAAGTCTCCATCTGGTAGCTCTGGAGAGAGAATCGGGTGGGCTGCTGCGAAGTTTGCTTAGGCCTTAGGCATGTACAGCAATAAACTGCGACCAGGGAGCCCACAAAAATGAAGGCAATAAATATTGATCCAACGATAAGAAAAGGCACGTAGACTGGTTCTGAGCAGAGAGGGGGGGGGAAACAACAAAACGTCATGAAATTGTGGGAAAAAACCCCGAAAGTATTATTTATAATTTTCTTCAAAATGCAAGGATGAATTTGACAATTGATTATTACGTAAAGATTAACACCAATTCACATGAGTAAATCATTTATACAATTAAGATAAGATCCTCTGTCTAATTCAGGAAGGACTAAAGACAAGCACAAATTCTTACGCGGTCACTGAGGCTTAGCTGAGGCTGGTTAAGCTCTTTATGTCCTGGGTATAGAACAAAATTCCCAAGTGGTTAAATTCATTCTCAGACTTCTTTGCAAGTTTTCCCTTTTACCATAGGTCCTTACGCTTCCATCAGTGTTTGACAGTGGGCTCGATTGTAACCTAATTAGTCTATACAGTATTCCCTGAATTCCCTTTTTAAGACTATCATGTTGCAGACTCTACCATGCCATTTACCAGCAATATTTTTTTTTCTTGTTTCTTCTTTCCCCTACTTTCCTCATCTGTTGGGGTTTTTTTTGGGGGGGGGGCCTACAGGGAACCCAAAGAACATTTCTGTGGCACTCAGAAGTATACCTCACCACTCTGGGATTGTAACCAGACCCCAGAAAATGTAGTGCATTACTATTACGGTAAGGATTTTTTCCCTGTAATGGACCAATATGGAGTGGTTCCACACCACCACCTTTTTGCACTGCTGAAGGATCCCTTTTTTTTACATTCAGCTGCAAGCAGAACTAAAACTGGGTCTTCCAAGAGAACTTAATGTGCTACAGTCTACATTTTTAAAAAAACATCCTTCCCTCGGGCACAATCCCATTATGCATTTTCTCAGAAATAACTTCCCATCAGCAAATGTCTTCCTTCTCCCTGCATTTTTCCTTTGGTTCCTTTGTTTCCAGTCTAATTGACTGCTTCCTATTCTCTCCGTTAATAATGATAATCTCTTTTTCCTTTGGGGGGGGGTTTAAGTAGTGCTTTTTAAAAAAAAAACAGTAAACCTATCAGTAATATTTTATTAAAACTGTAATAGTTGGATTAAAAATAACCATTAAAAATTAAAACAAAACTGTGGAAACTGGAGACTAAAAAAAAGCAAAACAGAACTTAAGCACCACAGAGAACCTGCACCCAGAACAGGTAGTTAATTCACGTGGAAAGTGAAGGGGTCACCTTTTAAAGGGCCCGGATCCCTGGGAAACATCAGTAGTTTTCCCACAGTCCACATGAAACAGCCTGGCTCTGCTATTGCATTTTAAGCTTTAAAAAAGCTTCAAAAATCAAGTCTGGTTAAAAAAATAGCATGGAAAATAGTGGAATGCTACAAACTGATGACATCATCTGAATCCTGCTAGACCTGAACAAATTCACTTGTGTGATGTAGTTTCAGATTGCGTTTGAGTCACACAACTGCCACATTAAAAGAAGAGTTGACAGGAAACATAAATACTGGCCATGTGCTAGAGCCTGAGCAGCAATACTGTATCTGGAAGATGCCCCCCCCCCTTTGGAAGGTAGTCAAGAGCCTCCTCCCAAACACAGCTCAAGAGCTCTGCGGGGCTTCATCTGCACCATCAGGACCCCCGAGAGACCAAACCAATGTTCCCTCTAAGCTGTGGAGTCTTGTGAGCAAAACTACTTTGTGAGCTACTGGCTTTAAAGTTGTGAGCAAGCGATTTGGATACTGGATAAATTAGTTTGCTCTGGAGAGGCTAAAAAACTGTGAGCTAGCTCACACTAACTCAGCTTAGCGGGAACACTGCTTGTGAGCAAAAAAATCTGCTTTGTGAGCTACTGGCATTAAAGTTATGAGCGAGCAATTTATCTACTGCATAAATTGGTTTGCCTTGCCGCCATCCTTCCTGAGCTAAGACAGAAATGTGTGAGCCGGAGGCCAAAAAACTGTGAGCTAGCTCACACTCACTCAGCTTAGAGGGAACACTGGACCAAACATGCTCAGAAAAAGCTCCCGCTGAAGTGAATGGAACTTCCCCCTAGAGAGCGTGTTTTGGATTTACAGCATGGAAGTGGCCGACGGGACAAAAGGCTTTCCGGACTGGCCCATTTCTGCGGACCCTCCTGCTTAGCTGGCGAACCGAGTGCTGTTCTAATCACTTGATACGTGGACAAACAGAGCGACAACCGGGTCTGGCGTGACCCCGACGTCTTCGACCGGGTCGGGAAACCCTGTTAACGCAACCGGTCCGAACCCACCCCACCCCACCCTTTTCCCTTTTTTGCTGTACCGTTTTTTAAACGGTCCCATGCGGGCACCCCTTCCATAAGCCGCCACATCCTTTGACGAAGACCACCTCGTCCGTGACTCTCATTTCCAAAACTCTAGACGGGACAAACTGTTCCCCTTTTTCTGGGAAAGGAGAGAAAGGACCGTGGTTGCGCGTTAAGACGTCCGCTCGCACGTCAGAATCCCGCCCTGGCACGCTTCCTTAGCAATACCGTCCCATTCCCGGTTGAAGGACTGGCTGGCTTTAGAATGGAGAGAATCTCCAAGTCCCCCTGCACGTCTTTCCTCTCGTCTACGGGGAGGAGGCAAGACCAGCCATGGGGCCCGGGAAACGGCGGGCTGCAAAACTCCGCGCACCCCCTGGGCAGGGAGAGCGGCTGGCCTCAGAGGGCGCCCCCGATCCCCCTGCAGGCTGCACGTGTCGCGCGGCCTGGGCGATGCTTTGCACCGAGTCTGCACGTCGGAGGTCCCTCCCCCCGGGCCACCCGGGAGTCCCCCAAAGGGACCAGGCGCCGAAGGAGAGCAGCTGGGGGGGAGGGGGGGCAAAAGGACACCTAAGAACTCGACCCCCCCCCCCGCGGCCCCTCTCCCTCGCAGTGCCGTCCTGTGCAGTGTTCCCTCTAAGCTGAGTGAGTGTGAGCCAGCTCACAGTTTTTTAGCCTCCGGCTCACAGATTTTCGTTTTAGCTCAGGAAGGAGGGCTCCAGAGCAGTGTTCCCTCTAAGCTGAGTGAGTGTGAGCCAGCTCACCGTTTTTTAGCCTCCAGCTCACAGATTTTTGTCTTAGCTCAGGAAGGATGGCTCCGGAGCAAACTGATTTATGCAGCAGCCAAATCCCTCGCTCACAACTTTAATGCCAGCAGCTCACAAAGTAGAATCTTTGTTCACAGGACTCCACAGATTAGGGGGAACACTGCTCCGGAGCAAACTGATTTATGCAGCAGCCAGATCCCTCGCTCACAACTTTAATGCCAGTCGCTCACAAAGCAGGATTTTTGCTCACAGGACTCCGCAGCTTAGAGGGAGCCTGGGTCCTGTGCAGAGTCCCTCCGGTCGAACTCCGCGGAGCCCAAGGCCCTGAGCCGGGCGCCACCGGTGCGCGCCAGCCCCCCACCCCACCCGGACCCCCACTCACGGGCGCTGGCGGGCGGCTGGTCGGGCTCGGGGTCGTTGGTGCAGCCGCCTTGCTCCAGGCGCGCCTCGGCGGCGGCGCAGCAGTAGCGCAGGGCGCACGAGCCGCAGCAGATGGTGGCGTCGGGGGTGTCGAAGCGCTCCGGGCAGGCGAAGCCCTCGTAGTCCCGGCCCTGCGCGTCCACCCAGCCGTGGCAGTACTCGCCCCCGCCCCCGCCGGCCGCCCTCTGCGCCTGGCCCCCGCGCCACGCCAAGCACCAGCCCAGCAGGACGCAGCCCAGCCACCCGGCCCTCATGGCGGCCCCCGCGGCCCGGCCCGGCGTGGCGCTGCTCTCCCCTCCGGCCGCCGGCGAGTTGTCGAGTCTCCAGCCAGCCTGCCTGCCTGCCTGCCTGCCTCCCCCCAGAGGCCCTCGGCTGGAGCCCCCCCCCCCACTGGGGGGGCTTCCAACAGTCACAACACCAGAACTCGCCGGCTCTCTTTGCAATTGCTGAGCGGTCGGGTTAGAAGGGATAAAAGGAAGTGCTTCTTCAGCCAAAGAGCGCTTAGCACGTGGAATTCCCTGCCACAGGAAGTGGTGGCAGCTGCAAGCATGGACTGCTTCAAGAGGGAATTGGATAAACATATGGCGCAGAGGTCTATCAGGGGCTATTAGCCACAAGGTATAGATAGGCACTCTCTGGGTCAAGTGATGCTCTGTCTTCTTGGTGCTGGGCAGGGCCTTTCTGCGCCCTAGGTGAGGCTGCCTTGTGGCACAGATGCCAACCTCCCGGTGGGGCCTGGAGATCTCTGGAGCCAGCCACCCTTTTGCTGCTGCCACCACCACCTCTCTCCCCCCACCCCCGCTGCCACCAAAGAGGGGAGGAGGGGGGAGGCACTGCTCGGCGCCCCATCCAGGGCCCGGCGCTCTAGGCGAATGCCTGGTTTGCCTAGTGGGTGAGCCAGCCCTGGTGCTGGGGGGGGGGGCTTCGAGTGTCCTGGCCCCACTGATGGACCTCCTGATGGCCTCCACCCGGAGGGCGGGGTAAACATTTAATAAATCAAATCAATCAAATCACCTGGTGTTTTTGGCCACTGTGTGACAGAGCGTTTGACTGGATGGGCCACTGGCCTGATCCAACACTGGCTTCTCGTATGTTCTTATGTTCCTTCTATCTTATCCGAGAAATGTTGTGAATATGTTGTGGAAGCTTTTCACAGCCAGAGTTCATTCGTTGTTTTGGATTTCCCGGGCTGTACGGCCGTGGTCTTGGCATTGTAGGACCTGACGTTTTGCCAGCAGTGTTATACCTCTGAGGATGCCAGTCACAGCTGCTGGCGAAATGTCAGGTCCTACAATGCCAAGACCACGGCCATGCAGCCCGGACAATCTACATCAAATAATGTTGTGAATGTTTCTCAGGCCATTTGGAGTTCGCTTTTCTCACAAAGGCTCATGACAAAATTGACTCTCAGACAGGGCTTTTTTTGTAGAAAAAGCATAGCAGGAACTCATTAGCACAATAGGCCACACCCAATAGCAGAAACTTATTAGCATATTAAGCCACACCCCTGATAGCACAGCTCATTGGCATATTAGGCTACTCCCCCATGTTACCAGAAGTGTGGTTATCCAGCCATACCCACCTTTTGCTTGTTATTCTGTTTACCTTGTTTGTTGTCAAAACCCAGGGCTTTTTGTGTAGCAGGAACTCCTTTGCATGTTAGGCCACACACCCCTAATGTAGCCAATCCTAATGAGTTCCTGCTGTTGGGTGTGGCCTATTATGCTAATGAGTTCCTGCTGGGCGTGGCCAACTTGGGAGCCAGCCGGAACTCCGTTCCTGTGCGTTCCTGCCCCAAAATAGCCCTGCTCTTAGATATTTGTGCTCTGCTGTTGGTCGTCCCCAAGAGGCCCAGAGGAGGCCCAGAACTGCTCCTACTGTTCTCCTTCCCTCTCTTTTATCCTTGCAGCATCAACATTGTGAGGTGGGTTACGCTGAGAGAGAGTGACTGGCCCCAGGCTCTCCCAGTGAACTTCCACGCGGAGTGGGGATCTGAACCCGGGTCTTCCGGATCCTAAGCTACCACTTGAACCATGACAAACGTTCGGTGAACATGGAAAACGGCAATGGTTGATATCACCTGCATAGAAACACCTTCCTGGAAACTTCCACTTCACACGTTCTGCTGAAGGATACGAATGCGGAAGGAGCCTTTGTGGTTTTTGTCATGTGATGTGTGTTAAGGTGAAAAAAAGTCTAGGCCAGGGGTGGCCAAACTCTGGTTCGGGAGCCGCCTGTGGCTCTTTCACACATGTTGTGCGGCTCCCACGAGGTCGGCTTGGGAAACTAAATATCATTAGCAAATATCATTATCAATGGTTGCGGTCACACACTCCAGAAAAAGGGGGGGGGGTGAGGCTATTTCCTCCAGAGGAATTTGACCCACAGTTGCACAATCACACCTCCTTTTGAAACTGTGGGCGCAGTCCATCAGGGTGTGATCAGACGCAACTGCGGGTGAGTCGGGGGGGGTTGTTCCGTTTTTTCCCCATGCACTTAAACGTGGGATCGATTCATCGCACCTCTGCACCGAGGGCTCCCTAGTTTGCAATGATGTGCATATGGTGAAGGGGGGGGAAACAATGGTACAGACGCCATGAGACCATTGGAGCGATCAGACATGGGAAAGTCCGTCCATGGCCCGTCACAACCAGTGTTCCCTCTAAGCTGAGGTAGTGCGAGCTAGCTCACAGTTTTTAGCCTCCAGCTCACACATCTTTGTCTTAGCTCAGGGAGGATGGCTCCAGAGCAAACTAATTTATGCAGCAGCCAAATTGCTCGCTCACAGCTTTAATGCCAGGAGCTCACAAAGTAGAATTTTTGCTCACACGACTCCACAGCTTAGAGGGAGCATTGGTCACAACCCGTTTACTACCGGATTTTCCCTGGTGTCCTTTAACTCCACTAATGCAGCGGAGCAAAACATGTTGCTGATAGCTACGGGGCGCTTCCGCTTCCCAGATGTTATTGTCTGATCGTGCCCTTTAAATCCGCCCGGCATTCGTACCTATGCCAGGTCTAATTGTGTGTATGATCGTAGCCAATATCTGCTTTTACTGCTTTTGTTATTATTTTTGGCAGTCTCATTTAATGTTAATAAAGAGTAAATTTGCATATTTCCCAGTAAAAATGTGTAATATTTGTCGATGTCTTGCAGCTCTCAAACATCTGACGTTGATTCTGCATGGCTCTTATGTTAAGCAAGTTTGGCCACCCCCAGGCCAACCTGGCTGCATCATATGGCAGTGTGGAAGGCTTGACCCTTTTTTCTTTTAAATTTTTTTAGTAATATTAAAAAAAAATTACCATGTCCACACAGAGAGGTCTAATATGAAACAATAGAAAACATCCATCCAAAGCCATCTACCAAATAAGTCCAAGAGCACGAGATCCCATTTCTTAAAACCTTAACCAGCTAAATTGTTGATCATCTATGGAAAGGACTCCTTTATTAGAAAGGAGAGTCAAAACTGGATTGCTAGCCCCGCTGGTGGACCTCCTGGTGGCATTTGGGTTTTGGCCACTGTGTGACACAGGGACCGATTCTGCAAAAGCAGTTGTTCCGCCCTTGGTCTGCCGTTTCCCTCGGTTGTACTGCTCAATTTCCCACTATTTGCTGCATGGCTGCATTTTGACCCGCATCTCCCTCTGATTTCCCCCGCATTTTCTTGATCCTTACTTTTTAGGATCAAGAAGATGCGGAGGGAAATCGGGATGCGGGTCAAAATGGGGCCGTGCAGCAAACAGTGGGAAATAGAGCAGTAAAACCGAGGGAAACAGGAGACTGAGGGCCGAACAACTGCTTCTGCAGAATCAGTCAGAGTATTGGCCTGGATGGGCAATTAGCCTGATTCAACATGGCTTCTCTTAAAATCAGACTGAGACCATGTGATCGTCCCAAGGCCACCCAGCGCGTTTTTGTGGCAGGGCAGGGATCTGAACCTGGGTCTCCTACTTTGCCTCTCTAACAGCCCCGAATTCTAGAAACTTGATTGTTTATGAAGTGAAAACTGATTTGCTGAAGATGCCGTTTCCTGTTCCTCCTTTAGCACTTTTCAGTGTTCCTGTAGATGCACAGAATGTGTGACAAAATGTAACTATTCAGGAAGGACTTATGTTCAGTGTAAATATTTCCATTGTCATCAGTTAGGTAAGGGTTACTGATGGAGCCCTTGGGTGAAAGTATACGCTCATCAAGGAAGCTGAAGTACCTGGCACCTCCGCACAGCCGTCTTCACCTTCTGAAGGTCACACTTAAGGATGGGAGGAAGAAGAGTCAGAGATGTGACAGCACCTGGGATATGAAGTAGAACTCTGTGAGCCCCTTGTCTAGCCTAATTAGTACTTCTGATACAGTATTAATAGCAATGGATAATATATCAGTATGACCACCACCACCCCCGCCTCCTTAGACCATCCTCACAGGGCCTTCTGCAGGTGCCAGGCCTGCAAATTTCTCACCTGTCTACTACCAGGGCAAGGACATTTTTAGTGGTTGCCCCTTCTCTCCGGAATCAGCTCCCCAGGGAAGTTCATGCCCTGTGGGATCTTCCAGCATTCTATAGGGCTGAGGTGTCAAACATAAGGCCCAGGGGCAAGAACCGGGCTGTCTAGGGCTGTTATGCGGCCTGCGAGCAACTGGTGCAAGGGAGGGGAAAGGAGGCTGCTTTGGGGTGGGTGGAGCTACTCCAATTGTGGCTTCAGCATGGCAGGACAACCTCATCTGTAGCAGTCACTTCAGGGACTGGTAAACTGGGAGCCACTGCAACCCCTCCACTTGGCCTGCAGCACCGGGGATATGCTGTCCCAGATGGCCACAGGGATCAGCGTTTGCACGGGGGAGGGGGTTGCAGACAATCCTCTGTTGGGGCAGGGGAGCATCTGCACAGCGCTGCACTGCTGGCTCTCCCGTTCTCCCAGGTGGGTGTTCCTCTGCAACCCCCTCCGAGCCCATAGGGCCCTGCAGTGAGGACAGACCAACTCAGAGCTTACCAGTTGCTGTCCTTTATATCTCCAGTACCCGGCATTATGTTTTATGGCACACATGGCCTGGCCAGACAAAGTGACATTTGTGTCAGATCCGGCCCTCATAACAAATGAGTTCGACACCTCTGCTGTAGGGCATGTAAGGCTGCTTTGTTTTGTACAGTCCTTGGCTAATGTTATGAACCGGGGACCTGGCCAGTTGTTTTTAATTTCCTCAAGTAATTTGTTGTTGAAATGATGTTTTAATTGGGGGTGGGATTTTTTGGCT